GGCAGGTTTCCTCAGTGAAGATGTGTGCTTTAGATGACTCTTGAAATGCTGTACTTCACCTGCCTCTTTGTGCTGCCCAAGTGTAATTTCTACATACCTCCCATTGGGTTTGATGCTTACATGACCTGTCAGGAACTGTGAGGCCACCTCATTTTTAGATGAATGCATTTTTCAGTTGAATATGATAGCCTCAGATGATTAGTTTTGGGATGAATCAAAACAGTTTTTTGAGGCAGCTCTCTTGGCAACCTTCTCATGTGATCAAAGGCAGGTTAAAACACCACATCATCATTTCTTCTTAGTGAGCTCAGGCACTCCTTAATCAACTTCATGCTTTCTCTTCCTTTTTATTAAAACTTTTTTTTTCCCCCCAAATGTCAGGATCAAAAATTTATCAGAATGGGACCAAATTCTGTGGCATACAGCTGCTGGATGTTTTTACCATTTTCAGCAGTAGTTAGCCCTAGTGATTATAGTTCAATATATATTTTTTTTTTCTGTAAAGTGTATGTTTGATTTTAGAAAGCAGAAAGACATTTTTTTCACTATTTCTCCTTTTTATAAAAAAAACAAAAAACAAAACACCAACCAACACTTAGCAGGCATGAGATTAATATCTAGTAGGTTGTTTTTAAGGAAAGTAGGCGGGGTCAGGCAGTATTGGTGTTTTGCCTTGCTTCACAGCAGAGCTAAGAGCACTGCTGGGGTATTCACAGGCACGGCTGATGAAGGAAGGTTTGCATTTTCACGTGAATATAAGCAGAGAACCAGATATGATTCTTTCAACCTGTAAGTAAACGGGCCCACATATATTTCTCTTGAAGTATTGTTTTTTGCATCTGTTGTGTGTACATAGCAAATAGCTACTCAATTATTGCCATAGCAATACCCAACAGTTTTCTCTTGTGCAGCTTGGTTGCAGATTGAATGATCTGTATTTGGACTCCTTTTCTCAACTTTCAAAATTACTACATAAATATGAATCCATTAGATGATGGATTCAGCAAAGCATCTGTCTTTTCTCATGAAAATGGATGGAAATGTGGAGATATTCCCACGTGCTGTCTTCAGCGGCACATAGAAATTAGTTACCAATAAAAAGTTTGGTATAACTTGAGCCTGCTTTCCTCTGGTGCAGAATTTAACACAGACAAATACAGAAAGCCTGAGTTTGTACATTTGAAAAGCTGAAAGCTTGTCTTTTGAAGTATTTTTAGCAGCAAACTACTGATATTTTGTACTAGATTAGATATCAGTTGTAGTTGATTAGGAGGCATATTGAGTGTTATAGTAAAGACTTGGTTTTGGTGAGTGAAGCTGAATTTTCAGTTTTTCCTCAGAATAACCTTGTGTAGAGTTAACATATCCCTACTGCAAGCACAAGAACTTTGCAGAACATACCATAAAATACGTATCCTAGAAATGGATTTCAAAATCAGTAGCGCTTTGAGTCGCAGTGAATCAGAAAAGTGATCAAAGTGAATCAGATCAAGGGACTTAAGCAATAATAAAATGCTGATTGTAAGAACTCATCTGTAACCTGTTGCTTTTGTCTAATCCTTTGATGCTATTTCCCAAAGTCTGCAAAATTGAGTGAGGTATAACTGAAGACAGGGCGAAGATTGCACGTGTTTGTGGTTAATTCACACACTCTCACACAATTTTATCAACCCAACGCATTCTGCTTGATGCTCTAGGACTTTTTTAGGAAAACTACTGGCAGCAGTGGACCGTCTCAAAGGACTTGCATCTTTTCACTGTGTCTTTTCTGTTTTTTTTGTTTTTGTTTTTTCTGCTTTGTGAGTATTTGTCAAGTGAGCTTCAACGTCTCATTCCTAGGATTTCTGCTTCTTCCACAGGACTCACTTACCACTATATCTTCTCTCTTCTCTAGGCATGCTAAAAAAAAATTGATTTGGGGCACCATAGTCCTATAAGTTATCATAGTTTGTACTTGTGTTGAGTTTCATACTTGTTAATCTGTCATCAGGAAAATGTGATTTTTTAAAGACCTATTTCTAGGAAGAAAAAGATACTAGCAATGAAATGGGCTACCTTTTTTGTTCCCATGTTAAATTATTTGTAGAATTGACTGATCTCTGTGATTGCAAGCGTTTGTCGGAAATTAGAAATAGAAAATTCTCCACACAGCTAAAGAAGGAAGTATTGGCAAATCCTGGATTCAGCAGCCTAAATTCTCATCTTGTTTGAGTTGAACCTACATTTCAAATTCTCCACCCAACTGATTCGTTAGAGATCCTTACTTCCTAAGGATCAAAGCCAGATGTATTTTTGTAGCTTATGTTTTGACAGAGCTCAAGGGAATGTGGGCTGAAAGGTCTAGTGGCGCTGTGGGTGCTGGAGAATTTTCTTCTTTCTGAAGTGCTGCTTTCACTGATACCACCACTGCTTAATTTTTAAATAATGAACTCTTCAGTGATCAGAGGATCAAGGCCTACTAATACTTATGCAACTAAACATCTTTGAATCCAGTGTTTTGTTTAAGAAAAGGTCCTTAATTCAAAACAGGGAAATCAGAATTATTCCATCGATTCCTGTGATATGATTTAGGGTGATATGATTTAGCAGAAAAGAGAATCAAGAAGAAATGCTGAAAATTCATTTTCAATTTCTTACTTGCATTCTTTTTTTTTGTATTTAAATATGGAGAGGTGTCTATTTAATTTTAACTTTTTAAAAAATTTTGATTTAAAGCTTTTGAGTAGAAGAAGGTAAAGACAAAGGAAGAGCCTCAGTCGTTGGGAGGGTGTGTGCAGCCATAAAAGCCTCAGGCAGGAAGTGCAGATTTCCTGTAGCTGTGCAGTGAGCATCACAGGGGCATCTGGAGGCAGTTCTACGTGTAGAGATCTGTGTTGCTAGCAAAGATACAGATGTAGACCACTTTAATCGAATTGTTCGGTGTGTCACCATTTGCAATGTTGGCCAAATATGTTAAAAAAAAAAAAAAAAAGGAGGTTGGTATAGGACAGGTTTTTCTGGGCTACAGCCATGGTCTAACCCATGTGTTGACTTCCAGCTTTGGCTATATATTTTGCCATCTTTAAAATCTTACTAGAACATCAATTTCATGTTACATTGAAACTCTGTAGTGCTTCTAGTTATTGCTAATAAGCTTCTATGAGGACAACAGATCTAATGAGAAATGATGTATTTAATCAGACTACATGGGGCGTCATCAGAAATAGACAAGTTTTCTTTTTGCACCTCACTTAGTTTATAAACAACAATTAAACTTCTAGGTTGTTTTTTTTTTTTTTCTTTTCTCTCTTTCTTTCTCTTCCTGTCTTTCTTTCTTTTTTTTTTTTTTCCCAGGAGCAGAAAAGCAATATAAATAAAACAGAAATATTTCCCAGCTGACTTTTTAAAGAGGATTGTTCGTTCCAAGCTTGATCATGCTGAAGACACTAACAAACTCAGTTCTACTGCCCAACAATGCTAGAGACTGTGTTCAAAGTTAACCTGCTGTAGTTTTAAGCAGCTGAGAGACAGCTTAATACATTTAAATTGTGCAGCAAATAAATTACATTACCTTCAAGTTTTTGGCCTGGTTTCTTCAAAGAAAATTGTCACTGTCATCTGGTTTGGGTATTTTGCATAGCTGTTAGTGGAAACTTGTATCAAACAGTTGATTGTGTCTTCTGATTAGTGTAGGTCGGCCACCTTCCCACACAGCAGGTTCTTTACAGGATGCTGCTCTAAGTCTAAGGGAAATGCCCTACGACTTTCATGACAAATACTCTAATCAAAACACATATAAAATAGGTCTCTTCCACATCTGACTGAGAACTATTTTTGTTCTTACTTTTCTGACATCTGTTATTTTCTCCTTTTTCGTTTATCACAATGAGATTTACTGACTCATATTCCTTTATAAAGAAAATAATTGCTTTTCTGTCACACAGGTTACTAAATGTTTTGAGTGGTAGAATACATGCTGTCAGCACACTTTGCTGAACTATTGATAAAATACATTGGCAAATAGTCTCACAGGTTGACGGAAAGAACAACCTTTTTATTCCAAGTCAGGTCATTAGGATCAACAAGTCAAAAACTCTATGAGGGAGGAACAAATGAAGACATGGTGTGTGCAAGGATACATAATGTGAATGATTATAGAATCATCTAGGTTGGAGAAGACCGTAAAGATCACCAAGTCCAACAGTCAACAAGATAAAAGATCAAAATACCAAGACCTTAGGAACCCTATTTCACTTAACGTTCTGAGACCTGTTTTTGTGCTATGACCTCCATATTAGAGCCTGTATGGAACTGGAACAGTGCAGCTGTCAACCTTTTACTTAGAGATTTCAAGTCTCCTTAGTGACTTCTAACTCATTTTAAATCAGCTGGAATTATAGTGTATTATCCTTGCTCCTCATACAAGATATACCATACTAACATTTCTGTAAATGTACAGTGTAAGTGATGGTGTTTCTGTTGTATTTATTTTAGAATTATCAACCACATAGTATGTAAGTGTAAAGCACATATTTTGTGAGCATATTAAACCTGGGTTAATGAATATATTATGTGAATAGCTGGAACAGAATCAGGGAAATCAGTATTGATTTAAATAATAAAATATACTGCATGTCCTTTGAGTAAGTCTCAGAATAAGAAAATCTAATGCAAATGCTGGTCTGTATTTGGCTCAGGTGATGTAGAAATTCTGTGAATGCTGAAGAGGATCGGTTCTCTATCTCTTGTCTGTAATGATACTGTGCACAGGGCAGTATGGTCACTTACATCAGTACATATCTCACTGATGTCTTTTTTTTTTTTCTGATTTAATTAAAAGAGATTTTAATGCTGTTAGTGAATAAATACAGCTGGGTTGGGAGGAAAGTTCAGCTTCTTTGGTGGATGCAAATTCCACCTTAATGTTTTGCTAGATATCTCACAGCAAGAAAGAGTTAATAATAGAGCTAAGTAGTCAATCGTTATGTAAATTTTGTAAACAATCACTGCATATGCGGAAAATGTTCTTGTTTACAGATCACACCATCCAGTCTGTTTTCTGCTGCTGCTGCTGCTGTGCGGTACAAAAACGGTATGTGAAATCCTTCAGATTTTCAGCAATTGAGACAGTCAAAATGCCTGTACATAAAGTCCATCTATTTTAAAAACCATTATAAAATTTTAAAAGTCCATCTATCTTCAGTAGAAATACTAATTGTGCAAAAGTTTGAAGAAGTTCTACCCTGAACATCCCTAATGTGAACGAAGGCATACATTTCCATAAATATTTTCATGTGGATGTTTATAAAAGTGTAATCAAAAAACACTTCTTGTTTTTCAAAATTAGAGCAATGAGAACAAAGATAAACGTGGACCCTGACACTGACCTGGAGACGCAGTACTCAGCCTCTCAAGCAGAAGATTCATATGCACATACTTGGAAGTGTAAGGTAAGTAACATTTTGGCAGATGAAAAAAGTTGAGATGATGTGACATCCAGTGGCTCACTGCTGAAGCAAGCAGAGGAGTAACTAGCTCTTGAGCACATAGGTTGCTTTGTTGCATAAATTAAAAAATCAGAGTATCCAAAGATACTGATGGAAATACAGGATCATAGTGGGTTCCCAAGTTTGCTGTCATGGATGAGGGTAGTTCATTCTCCAACTTTTGGGTTTGGCTGATGGAGGTGGGAAAGGTGGGACTGCCCTTTAGAAAGGTGCAATTTCATCGTCGCAGAATTGCAGGGGTTGGAAGAGTCCTCAAGAGATCATTGAGTCCAGTCCCTGTACTAAAACAGGTGCCTTATAATATGTCACATAGGTAGGCATACAGATGGGTCTTGAGTATCTCTGTAGAAAAAGACTCCGCAGCCTCTCTGGGCAACCTATTCTAGTACTCTGTCACCCTTACTGTAAAGAAGTTTTTCCTCGTACTTGCATGGAACTTCCTATGTTCAAGTTTTTGGCCATTACTTCTTGTCTTATCACTACACACCAATGAGAAGAACCTGGCCTCGTCTATTTGCCTTTCATCTCCTTTTAGATATTTGGTAAACATCAATCAGATCACCCCTCGGTCTTCCTTTCCCTAGGCTGAACAGACTTATGCTACTCAGCCATTCCTCATACTGGAGATGCTCCAGGCCCTTTATCATCTTTGTGGCCTTCTGCTGGACTACTTCCAAGAGATCCCTGTCTTTTTTGAACTGGAGAGCCCAGAACTGACACAGTAGTCTAAATGTGGCCTTTCCATTTTAACTTTGGCTTTGATACCAAACTATTCAACTGTGAATCATACTGTTTTACAAATAAGAGTTTTACAAGGTTATTGTGCTGTATGGCAGGAATTTATGACCATGATTAGTACCTTTTAGTTACTGAGATGCTATTGTAGTAGGGGAATTATACAAGAAATAGATGAGAGAAAAGACTAACCATGGAAGATACTTTCTTTTTCACTAGCGTAAGAAGAAATTGCACGTAAAGAACAAGCCTTTACCTCCTCTACCTGCTGAGGCTTTTGAAGACTACACAAAGAAACTCAAAGTTATTGCGTTATATGACTTTTTTGCAAGAGGACCCTCTGATTTATCACTCAAGCAGTCGGAAGAATACATTATCCTTGAACAGTATGATCCTCACTGGTGGAAGGCCAGAGACCAGTATGGGTAAGAGAGACTGGGCATCTAATTTTAAACCCTCTTCCTACAGAGAGATAACAAGAACAGCCCTTTGTAGGATTATCTTACAACCCTCCAAGCATGTCGAATGAGGTACATGTAAATTTAATGGAGGTTTGAAGGTATAGAGAAGGTATGTATGAGGAACGTGGGGTAATTGAGAAGAGTTTGGACAGTATTTGGCACTCCAGAAATGGGGTGACATCTCCTCTCTGCTGGGAATACAGGGTTAAGTCATAGGCTTAGTAACTTCAAAACAGCGTAAGTATATCTGAGGACTATGTGAACCACTGGGCTTTGAGCCATGTGAAAATCCAGCTTTATATGCTTCAAGTGCTCTACCACGTGTTGTGCATGTGTAAAGTCTTCATAAAGACCACAGAGACTGGTAAGACATTTAAGTTAAACAAAACCCCTAATCAAAGGTTCTTGGACATTTTAGAGAACTGGATAACTTGTTTTAGGATCCTTGCTGCATTTATATATTTTTTCATGATGTTCCTCTTTCTCCACAATTTCTTCAGTGTATCCTGTAATCTGATATGAAGAGTGATTACATGTTATGTAATAACTGTCTCTTTTTCATTCACATCCCTCCTTTAAATACTTTTAAGCACTTTTTTGCTCAAGTCAGATTTGCCGTTAGAGTCCGCTTTCTTATTATTTGGTATAGATGCAAGCACTCACTTTTTATTTCTTCATATTGAAGATCTGTTACAAGGATAGAAATAAAGCTAATGATTTCTGATTTGGAAGAAATGTCACTTTTTTCTAATCTTTGTTTTGATTTCACTCAAAAATTTTCCTAGACGTGCTGTTCTTGGCACTCTAAGTACCCATCATTTCAGTAGCCATTCACATTCTGGGGCAGAAACACTGCCTCAGGTGAAAGGAGTTATACTCTTATTTGATTCTCATGTTGGGATTCAGAATCTAAAGACATAACCAATAGTAGAAATAACTTCTGTCATTCAGAAAAAGAAGATGTGTATCTTGATCCTATGAATATTTTACATCTTACTATTATATTATCCTTAATATGTTTCAGGAATGAAGGTCTAATTCCTAGCAACTATGTTACTGAGAACACAAAAAGTAATTTAGAAACATATGAGTAAGTACTCTTGAAGACGATGACTCTACTTTCTTTTCTAAAAATTGAGCGGTAAGTTTTGGCGCTTGATCTTTCAGCTTTTACCAGAAGACTGACTGTGAACAGGGAACAGGTGTTCTCTTTGTTTTCTTTATTGAAGCCTCTTTTTTGTTTTGTTTTGTTTTGTTTTGTTTTGTTTTGTTATAAAATTTCACCCTTAGAATGTGTTAAACATTTTTATTATGGTCTATCTGTTTGGACTGTATAATATGATGATGACACCAACTTGAGCTGTGCAGTTGATACAGCAGAATGGAGGAATGCCATCCAGAGGTACCTTGATAAACTCAAAAGATGGGCCCATGTGAACCTAATGAGGTTCAACAAAACAAGGTGCAAGGTTTTGCACCTGGGTCAAGGTAATCCCAGGTGTGTATGCAAACTTGGACAAGAACTCCTTGAGAGTAGCCCTGCTTAGAAGAATTTAGGGATTGTGATTGATGAAATCAATCATAATAATCATATAATTATGATTAATCATAATGACAGAATCTAGGTATGTCCTATTTCTGTAGGCTCACTACATAGTATCTCTTTATTCTGATCTCTTCCCTTTGTGAACATCTAGTTGATTATCTAGGATCTATTTTCAATTTCTTCAGCCTGGTTTCCTGGAGAGAAAAGTAAAATACGTCGTAACTCCAGTGAAGAGGGGGCTGAAGCAGCTTCGCTGTAAAATTAATCAAAATTTAGCATAATGGTTTCCTGTTTTTTTTTTTCCTTTTATTTCACCTCACGTTTAATTATAGTGAATCACATTCAATGGGGAAAGTATTTGTTATATTTGCTGTGGCCTAATGAAGTAATTCCAAATTAAGAGATGCTTGATATGCAACAGTGGTTAGTTCTATTCAGGTGTTAACATTGGAGATAGAGCAACTATTAAGACTAACCCTTCTTTCTGTGAAGCAGAACAAATGTTAATTTGTACTGGCTGAAGTTGATATGTCATCTCCTTGTTGCAGGTGGTATTGCAAGAACATCAACAGAAGCCAGGCAGAACTACTCTTGCGACAGAAGGTAACTCAGCCTATGCATTGAGTTAATAATGTCTACAAAGGATTATCAGTAGAAGCATCTTGAGAGTTTCAACAGCCAAATCCAACTCTGTTTGACATGCAAGAGAGAGAGAGAAAGAGAACGTGCTTTAATATAAAAGGATGGCTTTCTGGAGTACAGTGTAGTGCAGACTGTCCAGACATCCCAAAATTTTACATTGTAACCCCAGCAAATTCTATTAAGATTTTCCATATTGAGTAACATGAGTTACATGGAGCTTACGGTGCTTGTCTTTGGTATGAAACACTGAAGACTGAAATCCTTGCAGGAAGTTAGTGAGGTGGCAGAACTTAACAAAACCCCTGATCCTTCCTTACATACAGATCAAACAATTCATGCTGTATTCTACCCTCTATCTCTGATGGGCATTTGTGTGTCATCTAGCTTGTGTAAAATTCATTAGGCTCAAGGGCTAATACAGGGCTTGGGCAAGATAGAGCAGAGAAGAACACCAGAGTTAAAATTGTTTTGCAGCAATTTTCTAGTGATTTGTATAACCTGAATTTTTAATAAATGAAAGAATTTTCACCGCTTCACACTGAAGAGTGTAATTCACCCAAAATATTTAACTCCGGCACTTGATATTTTCCTTTGGTTAATTTTGCTCTGCTTTGTTATCAATTCCTGTTCAGTGCTGCTTTATCACCCTCCCAAGTAGTCATAGGTATACCGCTGAAGTCAGTAATCATCTGCAAGTGCTATTTCAACAAACCTTTATTCAAAAAAGTAAATATCTGCATTTCTTTTCAGTCCAAAGAAGGCTCATTTGTTGTCAGAGATTCAAGCCAACAGGGAATCCTTACACTGTCTGTGTATTCACAATCTAAAGGGTGAGTTGCTCCAAATGGTTGTGATTTGATTGAAAATGTGAAGGGTTTCCCTAAAACTCCTTGGGATGAGGGGCAGGCTGGATATACGGTGCATGGGAGCAGTGAGGCACCAGCACTATTTGTGTAGCACTGCAGCCTTGCAGTCAGTGAATTGCTGCCCATATACTGAAATGGTGGTGCTGAGCATTTGGGAGTCAGGGTGCCGATATCCTAAGATAAGATCAATTGCATTCATAGAAATCCTGAAATACTCGACTCCAAGGGCTGCTCATCTCAGCAATGTGGCACAAACAATAAAGCCTTACAATCTCATTTTGCCTGTTATTACACCAAGTACTGTGGCTGCCATATCAGTAAAATACAGTTAGATTTGTAGTATCAAATATTTTTACTGACAATCATAATCTTTTGTTGATTTCAGAAGTCATGGTGGAGACATTCGACATTATCAAATTAAGAAAAACCATTTGAAACAGTATTATGTAGCAGAAAAATATCTGTTCTCCTCTATTCCTGAGCTCATTCAATATCATCAACACAATGCTGCAGGTAATGGATGTAAGCTGATAAGGTTTTACTACTGATAATCTGGAGCTCATCAAGACTTTGAGAAATTGGATGTCACTCTTAAACTAATATTTTCCTTCCAAAAAGATACACAATTTTTTTTATTGGTAATAAATTCAGGTATACTGTGATCCTTTCTGCTGAAGTTGTAGCTGCAATGTGCATATATAATATGGAAAATGATAATACCAAACTCATACATATGAATGAAATTTCATTCATAAAAATGGATGAAACTAGAAGCCTTATGTTCTTACCCACTCTGTATTCTGTTGATTCATATTTGACTGAATGTGATCTTGCACTAAATTTGATCATAGTTCTTTCATTGCCTTCAACTCAGTGACTTGCATGCATGCAATCTGAGAAAAACAGGAGCTGTGCTATGCACCAGCAGGCAGCTTTTGCAGCTTTTGGCACACACATGACATACAAAAGGCAGAACTGGAAGGCAGAAGGACTCTCTGACACTGACTTGCAGTCTACCAGAGTTAGCCACCCCTAGTTGTTGGCTCATGGCAGCCCTTTATAATTTCTAGCATTCAAAATACCATTCATTCTTGGTTCTGCCTATCATTTCAATATGGATTAAAATGTTTTTACCATGAGTGAGTAGAGACAGAAATATTTTTGAGAGCAAGTATGATGTAGTATACTTAAAAATGGAGCAATTTGTCAACAGAATATTGGTGCTTTGTTTCCTGCAGGTCTTATCACCCGTCTCCGACATCCACTCAGATCAATCAGATGTTCTTCACCAGCAACAGCAGGATTTAGTTATGGTAAATTCTTTATCTTGTTTTGGTGGAAACCTAGGTATCTGTCTGGGCAAGAGTTGAGATTGCATTCATTCAGCTAGTAATTGTGTCTGATAAATTTCCCAGTCATAAGAAACATATAACCAGCTTCTTAATCACCAGACTCAGACACCTCAGGTGTCAAATCCAAATGAAAGGCCTGACTCATTTCCTTCAGTTCAATGAGTGTTATGCTTCTTTCACAACCACTAATGCCTTTCTGGACTTCCATAAGCAGACCAGAAACTCACATATACATTTAGCAGATTTGCAAAAGGTTTTTTATTTAAATGCCTATGAAAATAAAATTAATATTGTTGATGGGGAAGATTCTTTTGTCAATTATGGAAGTTTTAAGAAATAAGAATGATGTCTTACACAGTGTTGGAAAGCAAGCAGTAAATGCTGGTGCTGTGCACACAGATCAGGAAGTTAATATTAACTGATAGATGTGTATGTACGAATATACACATATATATGTATGTATGTATGTATACGTGCGTGTATATATACATATATATATATATATGAATTTCCAAAATTTTTACTGTGCATTTTTACTGTGAATTAGTATTAAGGCTTATAAAACAGTATTAAGGCTTAATATTTCTGGAGAGCAGAACTATTTTGGTAGTTTCAATAGAGGCAGTCAGTGACTATTTCTCTGGCTATATTAGCCCTCTGGAACTGATTTAAAGTTAAAAACATAGATGACAGTGCCAAAAAGAAAAAATCTCAGAGGTAATCAAAGCCAATTTCTTGCCTTATCTTCAAGCCTCAGGCTTTCCTACATTAAACAATTTAAACAGCATTCTACAAGCTGTAAAGTACTACTCATGTATGAACACATACATGTGTGGAAAATTCCAGATAATTAAAATCCATGCTATAGCTGATGAACAGTCGTGATACTTTGCTGTGTACATTAACTGCAGATGGGCATGTCTCCTAGACTACTGTAACACACAGGATTGTTTTTACAGAGGAGTGGGAATTGAACCCCTCAGAACTGACGTTTATGAAAGAGCTTGGGCGTGGGCAATTTGGAATTGTTCATCTGGGTAAATGGAAAGCAACCATCAAGGTTGCCATCAAAAAAATCAATGAAGGTGCGATGTCTGAAGACGATTTCATGGAGGAGGCCAAATTGATGATGTAAGTACAAAAGTTATTCTAGCTTACAGATGACACTGAGATGACCAAGAAACAAATATAACCTAAGTCCATTTAAAACAAACAAAGCTATTGTGATGGGAATAGTGGATGTTAAGGACCAAAAAGCTAGTGTAATGGTTGCTAAACTGCTCACCAGGGCCTTTCTTTAGAATGTGTGCTGCTTTGCACTTGGAGAGTAGGGGCAGTAGATGTGCTTACAGTTACTCCTACAGCCATTCTTTCGTCTATAACTCAGTGCCTCTAGGAGCATGGGCAGAACTAACTAAAGCTAACTAAAGCTTCTCATAAGCTATATTGCCATTCCTTCCAAATTTGAAAATTAGGGGATTATCCAGACCACGTATTGTCTCAATCCATAGAAAGAGGTAAAAACAGAGGTGAAGAACCCTTACAGCCTTTCATGTCCCCTGCCTGAAAGCCAGACAAAATAAGTCCTTTCCGCTTCATATTTCCAAATCAAGGTTTATATTCACTCCATCTGTATAACTGATGGACTATCACAATTTTGCAAAACGAACCTTTTTTAGGAAATTGTTTACAGAAATGTGTTAGGTAGAGGACAACTCCAGAGCTAGTTGAATTGAATAATGTTTATAAAACACTGAAGGTGTTTCTCAAAATTATCATGATAATTGATCATGAATGAAAGGTCTAGTTACCTTTTGAGTTGGACTTGATGAGTCCTTTCCAACTTGGGATATCCTTTGATTTTGTGATTCTACCTACCAGAGACAAGTGATCTACTAACTGAAATGCAATTTTAAACAATGTTAAATAGGAAACTATCCCACCCAAAGCTGGTCCAGCTGTACGGGGTGTGCACACGCCAGAAGCCTCTCTATGTGGTGACTGAATTCCTGGAGAATGGCTGCCTGCTCAACTACCTGCGACAGTGGCGGGGGAAGCTCAGCAGAGACATGCTGCTGGGCATGTGCCTGGATGTGTGCGAAGGGATGGAGTATCTGGAGAGAAATAACTTTATTCACCGTGATTTAGTAAGTACAATAGGTTTTCTGAGGTTTTCAATGAATACTGATTATATGGAATATGCTGTTGAAATTTAGGGGTGCTTATGTGCCCTGCAATACTTCAACAAAGCCTTTCTGTATTCATGTTTCTTCTGCTCCCTGCTGCCTTACCTTTGTGCTGGGATATATAGCTGGCTTGTCTGCCCTGCCCTTCAGACACAGGGAATTAAGAGGTCACAGAAATACTTTTTTAATAATTCATATTGAGTGTCCTGATGTTGACATTCAGGAAAATACCTGTTTGGATAACTAGACTCTGCATCTGAAAAGTTCTTTTATTGTGCAAGGATACTTGAAATTATTGCAACTCATGATACAAGCATTCATGCAGGTATATGCTATATGCATGAAATCACACAGCAGTGGAAGGTGTTCACCAACACTGAGCCAGAATTTTACTTATTTCTCATCTTTTTGAGCAGGACACATACCTCCTTTCAGGATATAAAATGCATGAGCTGAAAGTAAATTATCTATTCTATTCTTCCTAAAAATGCTTTTGCCCGGATTTCACATATGTTTTCCTCATTTTTCCTAGGCTGCAAGGAACTGTTTAGTAAATGCTGAACACACTGTTAAAGTATCTGACTTTGGCATGGCAAGGTAAGAGGTGCAAGCTCAGTGAGTGCCTGATTTTGTGTCAGCTGGAACGAGGCCCATCACCACCCTTACTGCTTGCTTGCTGGTGTGGGAAATTCCACTGTACACAGCATCTACAATTCTGATCAAATCAATAATATTGTTGTTCCTCTGTGAATAGAGTGTCATATTGTCCTCTTACTGAGTGCAAGACAGATGAGCAAAATATCTGGTGAATATCAGCAGTAGTTTGTGGACATAGAAATTCCCAGTGTGCCCTGGTCTGCCAGAAGCTCGCTCTTCTTCCAGGAGAAGAGAAGGCTGCTGGGTGACCACATTGCAGCCTTCCAGCATTTAAAAAGGGGATTATGAATTGAAGGGGAATCAACTTTTTACAAGGATAGATAGTGATAGGACAAGGGGGAGTGGTTTTAAGCTCAAGGAGGGAAGGTTTGTATTAGGTGTCAGAGGGAAGTTCTTCACAGAGGGAGCAGTGAGGTGCTGGAATGGGCTGCCCAGAGAGGCTGTAGATGCCCCCTCCCTGGAGGTGTTCAAGACCAGGTTGGATGGCGCCCTGGGCAGCCTGGTCTAGTAGCAGATCTGAAGGTTGGTGGCCCTGCATGTGGCAGCGGGTTTGTAACCTGATGATCCTTGGGGTCCCTTCCAAACCGAGCCATTATATGATTAGATGGTTCTAAGCTCAGTAGAGTGAGTGCTCCAAATTTCCGGAGCCCAGTGAGAGCAGAAAGCCACTGGGAACAGAGGCAGGGTGGTGCTGACCTTTGGAGCCTCAGGGTAGGTGAGGAAGGAAAACATGTGGGCAGGAAGTGTGACGTGTGCTTCTTATCAGGGAAGTGGTTTTTCTGCTTAGTGAGGGGACCAACCACACATGAAGAGGGAGTGCAAGCACAGGCCAGAGAAACAAAGCTCCATCCACTGTAGAGAGGTGATGAGAACACTCCCTAATTAGTCAGAGCTCAGAAGACACCAGCTTAGTACTGTTTTGTATGTTCTTTATCCAATAACCTCTCATCTTTCCGTGCCTGCCCCAAAAATAAGAAAGAGACACAAAGAAGCAATTTCTCATGGCCTCAAGTTGTGCGAGGGAAGATTTAGATTGGATGTCAGGAAAAACTTTACAGAAAGGGTTGTTAAGCACTGGAATAGGCTACC